CCCTTGGGGGTAGTTGCACTTGTGGCCGACCATCCCTCTGCAGTAATTGTCGGACGGCTCCGTTTGATACATCCAGTCGATGCCCGGTATTCGTTGGAGAAAGTTGGTCAACAAGGGTATGTCCATGTACAACTCCTCCTCGACCCCGGTTTCGATCAGGAGAACGGTGAGATCCTTGATCTCGGTGAGTCTGGACGCGACCGTGGCGCCCGCCGTCCCAGCTCCGATTACTATAAAGTCGTATCGGGAGTTGGGTTTCGGTGTCCTGTCCGGTTGTGCTTTCAACCCGAAATTTCGCCATTCGTTCAAGAATTTTTTTAATCCGATCGTGTTCAGGATCAGATTCTCGCTCCTCTCGAGCGTTGTCAATCGAGACACATTTGGAAGGGCGGTGATCAGGGAAAGAAGGAAAAACAGGCGATGGGTGTTAAAGAACATTTTGAGGAACGATTGAAACGCGCGCCGTTATTTATTTTATCGGTGTACGGTGTTGCGCATGCGCGCGTTCACGTTCACGTGACACCTTCTGCTCCTCCTATTCGAGGTTATCGAAGGTGTTCACGAATGTGAGATTAAAGAAGAAGAATCCTTGAAGAAAAAGATGGAGAAAAAGATAGGATTTATTACGAGAAAGGTATATTTATCGTATGCACAATTCCTTTTAAGAATTATTGTTGCGGTTGTGGTAAACACGGTGATATTTTAGATAAGTGGAGGATGAAAAATTGATCGAATGTTGCTGAATGTTGTTTGTCGAAAGTAAGCCTCTCTCGATTTTTATTTCGATCGAGAAATCCTTGTGCTTCTTTTATTTTATTGTTATTCTTGTCCGTGTTGTGATTTTACGTATTTGATCGAAATGGTGGTTTTCACGAACGATTGAAATTTCAAACGTATGAGAAGGAGCAATAATATAGCATGAATGCAATATGTTTATTTTTATTTGTGAAATCGTTTCGAATTACATTGAAATATGATCATAGGAATGATAACAATATCGAAAGTAGAAAATACATGTAAGATTTAGATTACACTTCAAAAATGTTGAAATTTGTGAAGTATATGTATATGTGTTATATATTTTGTAAATAACGTTTTTCAGGTAAAAATCAAACGATATCAAAAAGATCGTGTTTTGATTTATTTGATTGTAAAATACATGTAAACGATATTTACAAATTTGTAAAAAAAAAAAAGCATTAATCTAGAAACTTACTTTTTCGTAAAAAAAAGAAAAAGAAAAAAAACATTCGAATAAATTTTGAAAATTTTAAAGATATCGAGACGTTCATATCAAATTTTGTAAATTAAAATTTATATTTTCTTTTTATTGTATATTAAATTCAAGATATTTTCAATTTCAGTTTTCAAAACGCTAACGAGTTTTTAATATAAAATTTCATTATAAAGACAAACAAGGTTCAACTCGTATAAAATAAAAAAAAAATTGTAAAAATTACAAAATAATAGGACAAACAAGCATTGAGCCTATAATAGATTCGAGAATATTTCTTATGTGAATAGTAATATTGAATATTAATGAAGTTCATTGCAAAATTAATGAATTCTGTTAAGGTGTTTGATATTTAATTTTTTTCAAACAACTGAAAATGTTTGAAAAAAAAATGAATCGAAAAAAAAAATAAATAACTTTTTTATTCGAGTCTCGTTTTCAGGAAATTTGAAAGAAAATTTTATTTTAATATTTTTCAATATTTATTTTCACTATACTTCTTGTACAATTAATATTATCTAAGTACAATCTAAAATCATGTATATTTTTACGATAATTAACTATAATATATATTTACATAATTATTGTTTTTCCAATAAATAATTTCATTCTTGTTTCGATCTGATAACGAATGATTTGATGATACTTCCGATGATACGAAATAATTTTAATTAACGATGAAAAATCCCCAATTGGAAAAATTCAAAAAATTGTAAAAACATATTTGAGGATACGTGGTTTTTATAAATATTGAAATCATATTAACAGGGTAAAATCAATCCTTGAAAATTTGTCTATTCTTCGGTTTTACGTTATAACGATAAGAAAGACAAAATTTCAATTTTACAAATTTGTTGTTTCTTTTCTTATAAAATCACTATCTTACTAAACACTTATTAATCGTTGATGGTATAAAAAAACAATAGGTTTTTATTATATTTGTAAATATAATATAGCTTTGCTGATTTTTGTTGCTAAATTTTCAAAAATTTTTATATTTTATTTATATATTTTATTATATTGCTTCTATCTTTTATCTTTTAACACTCGATCAACAATGGAATAGAGAGAAGAGGTGGGAGAAACCCATATGCAATTAGTGTAACTCATGCGCAATTATTTTATAAAATTTATTTTTATTTTTAACGAAATTACCAAACTTTTTCTATTTTTTTTTTTCATGCATCAAATAATAATAAGATTCGATAAGGTGAATAACAGTGAAAAGATACAAGTGTGAATAATGAATTATGAATTATTTTTCCTCGTGATGAAATTTATAAGAAAAAAAAAAAAAAGAATTACGTTATAAACAGACGAGCTTATTACACGGTATAATATCGATATAGTTGAACGTGGAACGTGAATTCTATGAAAGCGAATCTACGAAATTTTTTTAGCGAATTACGAAAACGAACAAATTCTAAAAAATTATAATCTTCAAATTTATTTGATTTCTCATTGATATATGATAACACATCTTGGTGACGAAAGTTGATTATAAATAAAATATAATTTAACACGATGATATTATTATTCCGTATATCAATGTCGCAATTATTATAATTAAATTTTTTTATAATTTCGTACAAAGTTGTTTTTTTCTCGTATGAGGAAATCTTAAACATCGATCCATTCAATTTCCTGTCCTTTTTCGTTCTGTGTAGTAAATAAATCTACACGATTAGATATAGAATTTTTGTAACATAATTTAACGTAGATGAATATTTCATTAATAAATTATTTCGAGATCTCATTAGATAAACATTGTTAACCATTCATTAAACAGTTTTTTCAGTTTCTTTAAATTCCCAGATGCGGAGGCTGTTATATAAATGATTCCAATCGTTCCATCTCGAAAGAAAGATTGGTCTTTTTCTTTAAACCAATGAAAAAAGAGAGAAAGAAGGAAGTTGATATTATTGGAAGTATAAGCCAGTTCTACGGTAGTAACGGTTAGTAGATTGCTGTAATGCTCTTTGTTCTTAAAGCACAGTCAATCAGTATATATATATATATATTATTTTTTTTCAATATTTCTAATATTATATTAAATTTCATGATATCCGAATATCCATACAATAAATTTGTTAATTTTTCTAGGTATTATTCTATGTGTTCTTTTAAAATACGATGCTCTGAAATTCTTCAAATTTATTTCTTCTATTCAAGTATCTTCAAAGATATCACGTATAAATGGCACGAGCGTCAATTGCATTCACGAATATGGACATATTTAAAAATGTTGAACAATTGATACAAGGCGAATAGATATCAGTAACTTTAATCCATAATAATATTTATGATTCATAATTGTTGTGAGGATGAAACTTTTTTTGAAATTCATGTCTGATATTATGTAGAGAAAATCGTTTCCTTTTCCCATTTTTCCAATATGCAATAATACAAAGTTGAAGAATAGATGAATTTTCATAGGATTGATTTCACTCTTTTAGATAACCAAAAAAAAAAAAAATTAGGTATCTACATATTTTCAAAGTTTCATAATTTTTTGAATTTCCAGTTTAGAGGATTCTTTTCTTGTAATTGATACTTCCATATAATGATTAATTAATATTATTTATTAAATAATTCGTGATACTGTGACGATACTGTCCAGTAAATTATTTCATAATAGTATTTCGTAATAGTTAATAGAGTTATTGGAATATTGTAGAATATCTTATAAATATTAATGTAATTAACTTTTCAATATCAATATAAATCAGCATCGTCTTAAAACATCTTATAAAATTTATTGTAAAGTCTCATAATTTTTTAAATTTCATAAACAAGAGATCTATTTCAAAGATGATTGTTCCAATATTTTTAAGGATTTCAGGATTTCTCTTTGATTAATGATGTATAAATAAGTATTTCTCAATATAATGCTGTTGATGCATTGCATTTTTATTTTCATCAAATACATTCATCTCTGATACATTCTTATTGTTTTAAAGTAGATACATATATCTAGGGACATTTGGATCCAAATTTTGTCATCTCCTGATGCATATTTTAAATTAAATTGTACTCTGCATTCTCAAAAAGTTGATTGATTTCCTTTGATATGATTATCTATTATTATTGTTCATATTTTATATTATTTTACTTTTAAATTTATATCGTCCATTTGCTGCAAAACAATGACATAATTAAATAATTAAAGTTTCAAATTAAATTTAAATTAAATTTAAAGAATACAATTTGAAAATTTTATTTTTTTTCTGTACGTCAATATTGCATCTGATTTACGTCAATATTGCAATAAATGGATGACAAAAAAAGTTAATAAAAAGTTACATAAAAAAAGTATATAATCATTGATTTTTTGTTTCCATACGTAAAGGAAATCTATAAGTTATGTAACAAACTATGGCACATGATCGACACATCTTCACCTGAGAAAGAAAATATTCATTTTCTAAATTTAATTTGATATTATGTATTGGAAAGACAAAAAAGAACGATCGAAATTAGTTAGTTATACGAAAGTTAACATTTTACAGAGTTTTAAATCGACGTTTAGATTTTAAGAAAAGATATATTCGATACGTAATTTCAATACGTATTTTAAAAAATGAACAATTATCCATTCATACGATATACAGTTGTAGAAAAATTCTTCTTTTTTGTCTTATTTTCTTAGAATATTAATAATGTTATTATAAATCAATAGATAACGCAAATCACATCGTACTCAATATCAAATTTATTAATTTTAATTTCTAAATTTTTCAAATGCACTTGTTTCATCATTTTTTAAAAATCTTCTTCATTTAATGTCAATGAGATAATTCTATCTATATCAAGATAATACAAAGTAAAATTCATCTAAAATTCATTCAATTATCCAAAAATGTTTCCACTTAATCGACACACAATGTAACACAAACGAAATTTTCCATTTTTCACTTCTATTTGATTCTATTGCTACTATCAAATCTTAACAACAATCCTACGATTAATTTAACAAAACATTTCATACATTTAATATACATTTTATGTACACTCAACATATCACAATGACAGAAGTCGTCACAAACTTTTGCTTGACTCCTTAACCAACAAAGCTTAATTAATCAACAAACGATGTCTATCTTAATCACAAAATTAAAGCAACTCCTTCAATCCGTCAACCTCTCGCACTTTCTATCGCCAACCAATCAGTTTTCACTAGATCGGCTCCTTTTTCCCCTATCATAATTACCGGCGCATTCGTATTTCCGCTGCAAATGGTGGGCATGATCGACGCATCGATCACTCTCAATCCTCTAACACCGTACACTCTTAATCTAGGATCGACGACTGCAGTAGGATCACTCGAAGGGCCCATTTTCGTCGTTCCAACTGGATGATAAATCGTCATCGAGATATGCCGAATATGACACTCCCAATACGCGTCCGAGGCAAACTTCAAATGCTTGCAACCGGGCAGTTTAATTCTGTGAACTCTGGATCCGAATTGCTCGAACACTTTAGCCTCGTTGATTCTCATTGCGATTTTGGCACCTTCGACCAAAGTGGCGATATCTATCGGATCGGAGAAGTAATTAGCATTGATTAACGGGCTGTGAAACGGATTAGAGCTACGTAACCTGACTGTGCCTCTCGATCTAGGCCTCAACAGAAGAGGCATAATAGTCCACGCGTCCTTGTTCGATATAGGTTTGAACACAGTATCGTAAACTTCGTCGGTTATGCCTAGAACCTTTCTAACCTGAACACCATCGTCCGAATTGATGGATGCCGGCGCCATATGCAATTGTATGTCCGGATAATCGATCGATCGATTCGCGTATTTCGTATTGACGAAAGCGTAGCCTTCAACGCCACCTAGAGTGGTCATCGGTCCTCTGCCATTGGCTACGTAATGCATAGTTATGGGAGCTGCTTGGAATCTATCTTGAACGATTGCTACGGGTTTATCTATGAGAAATGTAAGACCACCCATACCTACGTGATCTTGCAAATTATCGCCCACTCGAAGATCTTTGATCACTGATATTCCCATTTGGCGCAGATGCTCCTTGGGTCCTATCCCGGATAACATCAAGATTTGCGCGCTGTTAATCGCTCCTGCCGATAAGATCACTTCCTTCCTTGCTCGCACTATTTGCCTGCGTCCGTCCCTCACGAATTCGACACCAGTTGCTCTCATCGCTATAGGGTCTATGAGTATTCTAGTCACGTGACAGTTCATGGCAGTGTGAATATTCCTGCGCAGTCTGATCGGTCTTAGAAAAGCTTTAGCAGTGGAACACCTGCTGCCTCTGCGTATCGTGCCTTGAGCTATCATGAATCCTGTCTGCCGTTCTCCGTTTATATCTCTATTCTCGTATCCTATTCCGTTCCTGCCTGAACGAACGCCACTACCAAAGGAGTCTTCCACGGTGATTCTTGCACGGTCAAATAACCACCTGTCGAGTGATATGGACTTTTCTGCAGGTATGGATTCCTATTATCTTCCGATTTTTTGAAATAGTAGAGCGCCTGGTCATATCCCCAGCCAGGATTACCCATCGATTCCCAGTGATCGTAATCGTGTCTGTTCCCTCTCACGTAGAGCATGTAATTGAGCACACTAGAGCCACCTAGTACTTTGCCTCGAGGCCAGTTGCAACGGCCATTTTTCATAGCTAGACAAGCTCTGCCTGTGGGTTCCGTTTTGTATTTCCAATCGATTTTCGTCAGTTGGAGGTATGCTGCCAACGAAGGTACATCCGTCACTTCGTTCTCGTCCGGGCCAGCCTCGAGCAAAAGAACGTTCCATTTCGGTATTTCTGATAGTCTGTTGGCTACAACGGCCCCGGCTGACCCACCACCCACCACGATGAAATCGTATTCCGGATAAAGGGGATATCTGTCGATCGGTCGGCTCTCTGGATCCAATTGGTCGTATTGATAGTAAGACAGACCCGCTATTAACAGTGGAATTAACCATAGGCTCGTGCCCACGAGGCCCAAGGCTCCTTTCAAAGCCGATGCGATCACGATCGCACTGAGAACCATTCTTCGTCAACTGGCAGATTTTTAAATTTTGAAGAATAATTTTGATTTTGGTCGTATGTCATCACGCAGCCTCTCGGTTCTATCGTAAACGAATATCTGGTGGCCGGATGCCGATCTTCTGAATGCGATGTATTTTGAACGACACATAGAGGTTTATGTTCTTCATTGCGGTTTTGATGATTCATTTAATTTATTCATGAGTATATATTGTGTTATTTCTGTAAATAATAAAATGGATTTAATCGACAGATTTTGATAAAGTATTTTTTAGAATTTTAAAATTAATGGAAATCGAGAATTAGCTAAAGTTTATTTGAGATAAGATATATATATATTTTTTTTTAACAATAAAATTATTAATATGATTATTCAAAACTTATTAAGAGAAAATTGAGAACTTTGCAGTAAGAGAAAAGATTATATCCAATTTTTGAATTATCTTGTGTGTAATAATTTATAAAAATGATTAATGATACATTGTGTGAGATTTATCAGATTTTGGAACTATTATGAATGATATTTTTTACTAATAAAGCAAATACGACAAATCAATAAATTACATGTTTAATCGTTTAACAAAGATTATTTAATTATTTTTTAATATTTTGATACAAATCATCAGCAGTTATAAACATTTTCTTCTAATTTTCTTAAAATTTTTACAAAATGAATCTATCCTCTTTTTGTTGTAAAGTCTAATAAATAAAAAGTTTCATAACAAAATATTATATATACATGTAAAACATGGAATAGTGAAAGAAAAGAAACATTCATTTATTTCTTTGATTGTCCGACAAAATGGATAATTTAGTTGACAATATATCAATATCATATTAATCAGAATGTCAATTAAGAATGATTGTTACCATGAAAAAAAGCATTAACCGAGTAAACGATCTCTATTCAATCTCTGACTTTCGAATGCTGGGTGTTTAGTGGTTTTCTCATTGAGCAAGAGAAAGGAAATAGTTGGTAATCAATGCGCTAGATCGCATTTGGATACAATGTACTAATCCTACCGGAAGGAAGGAAGAAAAGTTGAAAAAACATTGGATTCTAATTGGGCTTTCTAGAAAGGAAAAGAAAAATGTCAGATTTGATTTAATTATATTATTTTTTATCTCTTGTTTTCGAGGTTAATCCTCGAAAAAATTATTTTTATTTTTTTTAGCAATATATACAATATTATAATAATATCAAATAATTTGAAAATTATATTGTAATTTCTATTAGTATTCTATTGTGTTTCAATAGATCTTATGTTATAATAGATGAGAAAAATTGTAAAAGAAACCTAAAATCATATCAAGAAATATTTCATTTTTGAAAATTTTAAAGTAGATTTATATTTTTGGAAAGAAAAAATGATAAAAATTATATTTAATAAAATATATATTTGACAATTATTATTAAATCTTAAAATTAAGAAAACCATTTATAAATATTTAAATTTTATTAATAAAATAATAAAAATACTTTATCATTTAAGGAAAAAAATACAATATTTTATCTTTTTCTTTATATTTTTCACATATAAAATTTTCTTTATTAATTTTTATATAGAATAATACTGTTATTAATTAAATTCATTATATTTCATTATTACAATGTTACTCGGTCTCTGGGTTTTAATTAAAATCTCTAATATGGCAATTCACGACATTCAGGGTTTATACAGTAGAATAAGGTGGCAACCCTGATTCCACCTAATCCAGGGATCCTAAAGTAAAATCTAAACCGGTTAACGAAGCGGTTACTGTAACTCTCGCGTTTGAGCAGCAAATTAATGAAGTTATGTGTTTGCCAGTGGAATGAGCGAGATGGTGATCTCATAACAGGGAAAGGTGAAAGTGTTGTGCCGGTGTAAACTTCTGTCATTGCTCATTTCCTTCCTTCACAGAAAATATTACGTGTCCACTCTCCGCCTTTTTTGCGTTTCAAATATTCGTGACTTTTGTTGCGAGAACGAAATCTTTCTAGTCTTGACATAGATTAGTTGTGACATTTACAAAGGAAAGTAAAGATTTTTTGTCGAAGACCTTTTTTTCTTTTCCTTTTAACTCCCTTTTCTATGCAAGATACCTGTTGGTAACTATTGTTGATTACTGGTTCGAATAAATGCTAAGTAAACGAGAGAATAAAAAAGCTGCATTTTTATTTTTTAATAAGATTTTTTTTGCTGTGATTATACATCGTTTATATATTTTTATTTAAGTTAATTAATAAAGTTTTTAAAAATTATTAAATTCATAACTTTTTTTAGTAATTTTTTGATAAGAAAATTCAAGGAACGTAAATCAATAATAACTATGTAAAATGATGAGAATTTTTTTGAAAATCTTTTAAAAATAGTAAATTTTTCAATTTTATGCCAATTACAAGAATCTTTATATATCTGAATTGAAGAAATAAATGATGTTTCACTTGAAGAGTGTGAAATTATCTTGAAGATTTTTACCATTCACAAATATTCATTTTATACATATATTATATAATAGAATTCAATTTTAATTTTAATCACTTTTACTTTACTTACTTTTATGTAACTTTTTTATCTTATTTTAAAATTATCTATTCTTCATTTCAGGTTTTTAATCCTCTATAATTAAATCTAACCTAACCTCTATCTTCATGCCGCTTTTAAATTTTAATCCACGATTAATGTTACGAATGTGAATAAAACAAGACTTGGAAAAACTTGGAAAATAATTCTTTTAACTTTTCATTTCAGGAATAATATTATTGATTAAATATCTATTATTAATTTTTAAATCAGCATGGAAATTGTACTATGCTTGTCTACAAGAGTTCTCGCCTTGATACTCAATACGATTTCATAGAATGATGCTCGTTTTGAATTATGAAATACTATTACAGAGAGACGTGTAATCAAAAGGATTGTTGTAATTAACGAGCTCGAACCATTGCTGATGTAGTGAAGTGTGGTCGAGAGTATATGAGGATCGATCACCACTTTATTTGGGTTAATAGGTTCTGGAATAAGTCTTTGTAGGTTTTCACAGTAGATAAATGGTAAGGTTGTAAATTGCTTGAGAAGAGATTTTTCTTTATAGGTGACATAGATTTTTTTCTATGAAAAAAATCGTTTAAAATCGCAAAAATTTTAAATCAATCTGAAATATATAGATTTCACTTTTTTCATTGAAATAACTTTTCAAATTTTTTTTTTTTTTCATTCTCAGTTTTTTCATTTTATCTATTTAACAAAAAATTTATTGTTAAAATATCAACTCGTATAATTAATACAATTGAACGGATAAATATATTGTTGTTAATGGTACGAAATCTATTAATAAACTGTGATATTAATTAAAAAGAAAAATTAAAAAGAAATTACAATTAAATTAATTACATTAGAGACAAAATTTTGAACAAGGTTTTGGCCTATATTTTTAACACTATATTCTTTAAGAGTTTGACTTGAAATTTAATTGAAATTTAGTTTAGTTAAGATCAAGTTAGGTTAAGTTCACAATGCCCGAGGTATGTCCTAGAGTTTCACTCTATCTCTTAGACATTATAACGGAATTTAAGATATCTTTAAAACGATAATTATATAGAGAAAAATGATTACAATTAACAACAAAACTCGATGTCATTGAAATCGATAAGATATATTCTTTTTTATATAAAAATAAGAGAAAATAAAATGTAGAATGTAAAAATTTTTCGAGCTAACGACACTCGTTTCAGTTATTAACAAAAACAATGCAATAATCTTTGAAAAAAAAAAAAAGTAAGTGATTTCTTTTTAAATCAATCTTTCAAACCGACTTCTCTCGTTAAACCAAATAATAAAATTGAATATGGACAATTATACTAGAAACCATACGCGAAAACTATTCGTACACGCTCGAACGTATCAAACTCTTGATAAAAAAAAAACTCTTGGTGCATGCATTTGCGTCGGAGAGAAAACGCTTAAAATATCATTTTCATCGTACGTCCAGTCACGAAGGAAGGAATCCCATGTTTTCCATGCTCGAGGAAAAAAAAAAACGAGCGAGAAAGTTTTTAAATCAGTCGCATTCGCTGTGGAAAACGCGATGTTTGCGCGATTGTTGCTCGTTGAAAATTAGAGAGAGAGAGAGAGAGAGAGAGAGAGAGAGAGAGAGAGAGAGAGAGAGAGAGAGAGAGAGAGAGAGAGAGAGAGAGAGAGAGAGAGAGAGAG